GGACACACAAAAGGCAACCATACATTGATGTTTCTCTCCCTCTCTCCTTCCCCCCCTTCCCCTCTAAAGATAAATAATAAAAATATTTTTAAAAAATAAATAAAATGGCAAACTCATATCCAAAACTAAAATCCAGTTATTTAATTTTTTCATCAAAAATAGGCACAGAGAATAAGGCTGTCCTGAATGTAGGTAAATCTTTTTGACTATAAAGACTATTTTCCCTAAGAATAAAAGCCCTCTAATCCCAATATCTTTGAAAAGGCATTTTCATCCTGCCCTGGTTTCCCTATTAACTCCCCCTTGTCCTAGCACGTGTTACCCATGGTTTGTGTTTTTGCCACCTGGTAGGGCACCAAACCGAGAACCAGTCTGGGCTGGGAGATGCAGACATTATGTGCATAGGTGATCTGCATTCCAAAGCCAGATACAGCAGGCTTCTGAATCACCTGGAAAACTATTCCTATCCCAAACATGGGAAAATCAATAGTGAGAGCAAACAGGGAGATTACATTTAAGTTTAACCATGTTTAAATAGGAAGAAGAGACCCAACACAAACATGCATTCTTATTTGTACAATATTTAAAATTCACAGAGGTATTGCACACAGGTTGTATAACTTATTAATGACAATGTGACTTTAACCCTAGTTCTAGCTGGGTCACCTTGCCAAAACCACCAAACAAATCTTGCCAAGGGAAACACAAAAATAAGATGATCAAAATCCAGTTCCCACTGGATGCTAGGCATTTTCCTAGTATCTTGAAATTTTTATTGTAGAAAAAGAAACATAGTATCTGTTGGGAACCACCCTGCCTGGGTTCAGAAGCTGTAACTCCCCCATAATTAAGGCTAAGTAAAAAAGCCTTGGGACCACAAGTCACTAAGGAGACAAAGCTTATCTCCTTGGAAGGGGCACTGCCTCTGCCCCCTTTACTTCATCCTGCCTGGCCCCAGGTGGATGACTGGTTAGTCAATGAGGGGTAAGGTCCTCAAGGGAGGGATGACCTAAGACAGGCATGGTCACAAGGGTGCCCTCAGGGAAGGACTTGGAGGGCTATAGGAAAAGGGGGCGATGTCAACTAAACTGCCATGAGTTGATAATTGTTGGAATTTGGTGATAAATACACAGGAGTTCATCATAATAGTTCTCCTTTTATATATGTTTGAAATTTTCCATAATGAAAGTAATTCAGTTGGAAAGGCATAAAACCATTCACAATTTTGACCCAGCAAATATACCCCTAAGGAAATGAGCTAGGAGGGAGAGAGCTGATTTTGCAAAGATCCGTAATTGAGAAAAACTCTGTTATTCTCAACAGATGAGAGATGGCTAAGCAACAAGGGTATATCAATAGGCAAAAGAAAATGCTACACAGCTTTAAAAAATGATAAATACTTTGGCCAGGTTGCTAAGTGGAAATTGGTATAGTAATGCTAAGTGAAAAACAGGCATCATAAAATATTATGTGCATAACAACCACAAGGTAAAAATACATTCACATAATGAACGGGTCAAAAGAGAACACAGGAGGCTGCACCCTTCCTTTGACTCTGAGCTCCACTGCATCTTCTCAGTGAGGCCCTGACCACCAGCTGTGTGTGAGCATACACTGGCTGAATTAACTGTGCTCTTCTGGGAACCATCACCCTTGCTTGCCGATTTCCCCGAAACCCCTAACCTCCGTAGTGGTTCCTCATAACCTGCCTTCTCTGATAGAAAAAATTCTACAGCACATAGTGGATACTCAACAAATGCTTGTCAAATAGAATAAAATAGAAATAGCTGCTCGGGAAAGCCATTAGGGAAAAGACATTCTTCAGCAATTACTGGAGAACATGCTTCCATTTCAGATTCACCGAAGTGCTTTTGTGTCTGTATGCTTGGGAAGAGAGCAATGCAAAACAAAATCAAGTGACTCCAGCCCCAACCACAGAGAAAAATCTCTGTTTTATGAGCTTGTCCTAAGTCTCACTGCTACAGTTCCTAATACCCAGCCTGAAGGTATTTCCCAAGACCAGCTTGGAGAATGGCCTTTCCTCTGCTACTTGAAAGGGGGATACTGTATGGATGCTCTCAGTGCCTGGCACAGCGAAGAGCAGGAGCACGGCCCGGCCAGGTGGCTCAGATTCATCCCAATACACTAAGGTTGAGGGTTCGATCTCCAGTCAGGGCACATAAAAAGAATCCAATGAATGCATAAATAAGTAGGACAACAAATGGATGTCTCTCTCTCTTGCTCTCAAATCAGTAAATAAAAATTTTTAATTAAAAAAAAAAAGAGCAACAGCACAGCCAGGAATCATTAAAAAAGCATTGGCCACTCAGCAGCTACAGGCTGGGAGGACAGGAACTCCCTGGAGACTGCACCTGAATGTAAAGGGCTTCTGCAGGTGGCTGCACAGGCAGCGCTACGTCCTCCAGTGCTGCTCCCCCACCCTGGAGGTCTGGATGTCTCTGCATCCCTTCTTCTAGAGCTGCTCTGAGCAGCCGGCTGTGGGGGAAATGGTTTGATATGGATATTCAAGAATGTCTGGAAGAAGGCCATAGAAAGCTCTGTTTTTAGAGTAGCTGTTAACTTTTTGGATAAACTGTTAAAGGAAGAATATATTTCCTTTGAGAATCTGGTAAGACCTTTCCAGAAATGTGGGCAGACTTTCAATAGGTTCTTCAAGAACCCCTGACCCCAGTCAGATACCACTCTTGCCCTAGAGCATTTCAGGTGCTTTAACTGATACTCTTAATAAGAACACTTTAAAAAGATAAATAAGAACACTTTAAAAAGATAAATAAGAACACTTTAAAAGACATGAATTTTCACAGCAGCAAGGTGGTCCCTACAGATAGGGATGCACAGCGGCTCTCTGGGGAGGGCACTGTGACTTCCTGAAGACGCCAGCAGAGACACACAGAGCCTAGGCCTAGGCGCACAGAGGGAGGCGGCAGAGCACCCTGGCTAAGTCCCTCTTCTGTGGACCTTCAGAAACAAGTCCCCCAAGCTTGATGTCCTCAGGGCCATCAGACCAGGAGACGGTCTCTTCTTGTTGGTCTGAGACGCTGACACTCTACTCACTATGATGGAACATTTTACTGAAGGTTTCCTTAAATTGACTCCAGGAAAGTGGGGTATGGAGAATTGCTAACACACAAACATTAGTCCACTCTCCTGGTAAGAGACAAAAACCTGGTGGTCCTAGAGAACGATCAAATCAGAGAGTACTGTGAAAATTAAAGAAAAGGTGGTCTAGGCATGCCATGGACCCGACTTCAAACTCATCAGGGCCAGGATGGCTGCAGAGAGCCCCCAAGGCAGACACACACCTGGCAGCCCCCTCCAGATACTCTACAACTCTAGGGGTTGCCAGAGACTCATTCCATCCCCTGCCCAAGAGATAAAATGCCCTTCCCAGAAGCCTGCTGCAAGCAGTTCATCAATATGTTAAGAAAGCTTTGATTATATCACTGCCCTGTTCCAGTCCCTTTCTGCCTCTGTCTATGATAGTATAAGAGTCTATGTTTCTTCTCGCCAACCATTAAAACATATTGAAAAGATATATCCTACCTACTTCCAAATGAATTTATAAAAGTTTTTAAAAATAATTTGTACCCAAGACAAATAAAATAAAAGATTAGAAACCATATGAAATAAAAGGTGAAATTATTTCACCAAGAATCAGGGAGATAAGATAGTACTGTGAGACATTAATCAAGCCTGGACTTCCTGGTAGCCTTGGCAAAAGGTGAAAGAGAATGAGATTCACAGTCCTCACTTTCTAATTAAAGGCAGAACAAAAGACATGACTAGAAGGAAAAGCATTTTTTCTTCTCGACACTAAGTTTTCAGATTAATTTATTGCAATCATTCTTATATTAAGGAATAATGAACAACACAATATATAACATCTTCAAAACAGTTTTACAATAGTACAAAATACTCTTCCTATAACTTAGCCTGGTACTGAGTACCCTTTAGAATGTCCCAGTTACTTCTCCAGCTTCATTTCCTTCTTCCTGTCCCACCCCACCCTTACAAGGAAAAATGTTTTAATCAATCAGACTGTTCATTATTCCCAGAAATACCCCCACCTTCTCCAACTTAGCTTTAAACAGCCCAAACTCTTTAAATCCCGCCTCTTCTACAAAGATTTCCCCAATTCTCCTGGTCAAAAGTGGTCTCCTCTAACCACCCTTCCCACACTGCCCCCCATACAGGGCAGAGCACCCTGGGAGACGGACGACATCACGCAGAGGCAATACTCGGGGACTAACCAGAGCTCCCACTTGATTCTGTTGTTTACTGGCTATGTGACCCTGAGCAAGGAACTAAACCTCTTTGACCCTTGGAGTCTACATCAATAGAATGGAACAATAGTAACTATACCTCGCAAAGCTTTTGTAAGAATTAAATGAACATCTCTAAAGGCCTGACACATAACAGCCCTCACAAGAAGCAGGGGTGGGATAGGTGCCATTGTAAAGACTTGAATATCTGCTTTCTCTCCCCAACCTGAAAAGAAGCCCCTTGAAGGCAACAGAGTAAATTACCTCCCAGAATGCTTCACACATAACAGAGTGATGTCCAAAAGGCTGACTATTTGGTGTGTGAGACTGAGGCAGGAACACAAAGCCACACTTTATCCACACAAGGCTGCCAGCCCCTTGAGGGTCTCAAGTACACTGACCTCCTGTTTCACACAGTAAAAATGCTCTTCCCCATCAAAAAATCCTTGTTAACATACAAGTCTCCGAATACCCATGTAAAATGCCTGAGCTGGCCATCTTACCCAAAGATCCTATTCCAGGCAAGCCAGTGTGTATTTAATTGTCATGAATCTACAGCACTGACCAATGCCTTGATGAACTACAGATAAAATTCTATCAGCCCTGGATGGCTAATTTGGTATAACATGGATACTACAAGTTCTAATAACTCACAGGAGACTACTTCAGCACTTATGAGCTATACGTCTTCCACACTCATGAAACAACCATAATTACCTTTCATGGGTGAGATGTTCTAGTATTTCTTCAATGACTGAACCCTAGAAAGTCAATGGAAAAACTAGTTTCAAAGAGTTTTTGTTTCAAAGGCAGAAAACAAGATCAAAACTTTATGAGCCCACTTTTTAACCAATATGCCAGAAATCACACTTCACCTTCTGGGGACATGTGCACTGCAGCAAAGCTGTCCCTGGTCAGCAGCAGGAAACTGTGTCAAAAGCAGTTTTGGGTCCTCTGTTCCGCAGCTCCCTCCAGAAGGCGTGAGGCTGTGTTGCGGAAGGAAAAGCCAGCCCTCCCTAAGGTGGGATGGTAGGGTAGGGACACACTTTGGGGCCAAGCAGTACTGGATGCAGATCTCACTTAAAAAAGACTGAGTAACACTGTTTAACCTCCTTGGGCCTCATTATTCTCATATATAAAATGAGAATAGAAACAATCCTCACATTTCATTGTGCATCAGAATCATTTGGACAGGTAGCCAGTCAAGGAACACATGTAGGACCCAGGTCTTGACTTTTTGCTCTGCATCACAGCCTGTGGCTTCCTGCCTGACAGCAGCTGTGCTCCAGCTGGCGTGAAAGAGGCAGGAAGGGACACGAGGGCCAAAGGGTTTGCTGTTCCTTCAGGAAGGGGTGCGCTCCCCAGGGGCCTACACCTCCATCTCACAGGCCAGAACTATGTCCTGTGGTCATTCCCAGCTGCAAGGGAGACTGCGTAAGAGACTTTTTCAGGTGGGCACACAGCCATCCCAAACACAATCAAGGAGATACAGGAACAAGTATAAAGTACACATGGACAAAAACTAAGGGGGGAGGAAATGGGAAGGAGGTGGGAAGCACTGGGGGGGGGGGGGTGAGCTGGGATGGGAGTAAGAGACAGAAAACTGTACTTGAACAGCAATTAAAATAAATAAATATTTTTAAAAATCAAGGAGGAATGAGGCACAGGCATTGAACAGGAAATGAGCAGAGTTCACTACAATCACAGATAAGGCAGATGTCCCTTTTGACCCTCTCTCCCCCATATCCCTGTTAATCCAGGCCTCGTGGTCATTTTCACCAAGCTCCTCAGCAGGTTCTGATGCCCCCAGTCCCTAAGGTTGGAGGACCACCTGCACACTTGCAATGCTCACACAGAGATTAGCTTTGGCTTCCAAGGGTTCGGCCTGGTGCAGCTGTCAGGGTGGTCCAATCAATATCCACTCTCATCCTCTTTTCTTCCCCTACAAGTCACCCAGGTAAATTTAATCTCATTTGTCACAGCCACATGTCAAGCTTGGCTTTATCCAGCATATGGCACTGGGAAGTGGAAAATGATTGACTTATTTTAAAAATTAAAGCCATCCTTCAGAAGATAATGATCTGCCACCTCTGACAATATTTAAAGAATGTGATTGGGGCCCCAAAACCTAAAGCCATGATGTCCTACCTGAGACAATAGCATCGCCCCAAAGATGGCTTGCTACCCAGAATGGTTTTTCTTACACTCTGTAGACACATTCAGCTACTGGGTTTGGGGAAAACATGTGATGGTAGCCAAGTGCTCATCACACATTAGGTGGGAAAAATCAAAATAAAAATAGGACACATAATTTTACATTAAAAAGTGTAGACTTATGCAAAAAAAGAAAAGCCAAGAAAGCTAACTCCAATATGGCAACAATGGTAAATAGTAGTGACAGTAATTATGTCCATTTTGGTTTTATTGGGAAGGGAAGGTAACTTTCTAAAAAAAAAAATACGTATTTCTTTTAGAACCAGTTTAGGATTGTTAAGAAATTTGTCAACCTACCGTCATCATGAGTCACATAATTTTTGGAAGACCTTTGGTGGGTCAGCTCATCCAACTCTATCTTTATCTGGTCTTTATATAAAATTAAATGGCGACTTATGGTCAAGATGGAAGTGTAAATAAACATAGCTCACCTCTTGACACAACCACATCAAAATTACAACTAAACTACACAACAACCATCATTTAGAGCCACCAGAAACTGAACTGAATAGAAGTTCTACAACTATGGAATTAAAGAAGAAACCACATGGAGACTGGTAGGAGGGGTGAAGACATGAAATGTGCTGGTCCCATAGCCATGTGTGGCGGACAAAAATCAGGAGGGGTATTCCAGGAGCAAGGGGTCCCAGTCCCAAACCAGGCCTCCCAGTCCGGGGTTTCAGCAAGGAAGGTAAGTCCCCATAACTTTTGGCTATGAAAACCACCAGGGAATGAGGCTCTGAAAGACAGAAACTTCTGGAACCCAGGCAGTTTCTCTTAAAGAGCTCCAGTCCTGGGGCAGCAGATTGAAAGTCACCAAGAGACATACAGGAGGAAGTGAATTGTCTGGCATCATGGTGAAAGTTGGGAAGCAGCTTTCTCCCAGACAGAAGTGCTGGCAGGCGCCATTGTTCCTTTTCTTTATTCCTTTCTAAAGATTTTACTAATTTATTTTTAGAAAGGGGGGAGAGAAAAGGAGAAGGAGAGGAACATCAAGGTGTGGTTGCCTATCAAGGCATCCCCTACTGGGAACCTGGCCTGCAACCCAGGCATATGCCCTGATGGGGAATCAAACTGGCCACCCCTTGGTTTGCAGGCCCGAGCTCAATCCACTGAGCTACACCAGCCAGGGCCCATTGTTCCTTTTCTGAGCCCACAGAGTTGGCAGGAAGGTGCCATATCTGAGACTCCATCAACCTGAATCACACTGTTTGCCCCACCTTGGTGATTTGCAGATGCCCTGCTCACCCAACTTTTGGGCCCACCCAACCTGTTTCCAGTGGCTTTTCCATAACAATGGCTTGTCTTGGCTCATGCTTCATATTTTCCTAAATTCTCTCAAACAAGTAGCGTCTGGTCTCAGCAAGCCCCATACCTCTTGCTAAGTGGTCCTAGGCCTGGTACTAGCAGGAGCTGGCCTTGGTTCACAGCTTGGCCTCACCTGAGCACCTCCAAGGCCAGTGCAAGGAGCAGCCTTCTGCAGATCACTCTGTGGCTTATGCTGGGTGGCCGAGGACAGAACATAGGCAGTGGCTGATCTTGGACATGACAACAGTAATCAAGGCTCAACCACAAGAGGAGTATGTACATAGCCCGCATTGTGGGTGCACCTTGAGTACCCAGCTTAGGTGATAGGGGAGGCTATGCCACTGGACCCTACAGGACACCTGCTACATTAGACCACTCTACCAAGCCTGAGAGATGTCACAGCTATATCTAATATGTAGAAACAAACACAGGGAGTCTGCCAAAATGAGAAGATGAAGGATCATGGCCCAAATGAAAAAAAAAAAAAAAAAAAAACAGAACAAAACTCAAAAAAAAAAAAAGAACTAAAATAAATGGAGATAAGCAAACTACTAGATGCAGAGTTCAAAACACTAGTTATAAGGACGCTCAATGAACTTAGCAAGAACCTCAACAGCATAAAAAAGATCCAATAAGAAATAAAGAATACACTAATGGAAATAAAGAACAATTTACAGGCAATCAACAGTAATATGGATAAAGCTGAGAACTGCATCAGCAGTTTGGAATATAAGAAAGCAAAAAACCACCAATCAGAACAGCAAGAAGGAAAAAGAATCCCAAAAAATTAGGATAGTATAAGGAGCCTCTGGGACAACTTCAAGTGTACCAACATTCACATCACAGGGGCACCTCAAGGAGAAGAGAGCAAGAAATAGAAAACCTATTTGAAAAAATAATGATAGAAAACTACCCTAACTTGCTGAAGGCATACAAATTTAGGAAGTGCAGAGTCCCAAACAAGATGAACCCAAAGAGGCCCCCACCAAGACATATCTTAATATGCCAAAGAGAGAATCTGAAAATCAGCAAGAAATAAAACCAGTTATCTACCAGGGAGCTCCCATAAGACTGTCAGTTTCTTTTTTTTAATATATTTTATGGATTATGCTATTACAGTTGTCCCATATTCCCCCCCCTTTAGTTCATGCCCATGTGTCACAAGTTCTTTAGCTTCTACATTTCCCCTACTATTCTTGCCCTCCCCCTGTCTGTTTTCTACCTACCGTCTATGCTACTTATTCTCTGTACCTTTACCACCTCTCCCCCACTCCCTCTCCCCTGTTGCTAACCCTCTATGTGATCTCCATTTCTGTGGTTCTGTTCCTGTTCTAGTTGTTTGTTTCATTTGTTTCTGTTTTTTGTTTTAGGTGTGGTTGTTAATAATTGTGAGTTTGCTGTCCTTTCACTGTTCATGTTTTTTATCTTCTTTTTCTTACATAAGTCCCTTTAACATTTCATATAATGAGGGCTCGGTGATGATGAACTCCTTGAATTTGACCTTATCTGAGAAGCACTTTCTCTGCCCTTCCATTCTAAATGAAAGCTTTGCTGGAGAGAGCAATCTTGGATGTAGGTCCTTGCCTTTCATGACTTGGAATACTTCTTTCCAGCTACTTCTTACCTGTAAGGTCTCTTTTGAGAAATCAGCTGAAAGTCTGATGGGAACTCCTTTGTAGTAGACTCTCCCCTTCTCTCTTGCTGCTTCTAGGATTCTCTCCTTCATTTGAATCTTGGCTAATGTAATGATGATGTGCCTTGGTGTGTTTCTCCTTGGGTCCAACTTCTTTGGGACTCCCTGCGCTTCCTGGACTTCCTGGAAGTCTATTTCCTTTGCCAGATTGGGGAAGTTCTCCTTTGTTATTTGTTCAAATAAGTTTTCCACTTGTTGCTCTTCCTCTTCTGGTACCCCTGTAATTCAGATGTTGGAATGTTTAAAGATGGCCTCGAGGTTCCTAAGCCTCTCCTCATTTTTTAAAAATTTTGTTTCTTCATTCTTTTCTGTTTGGTCATTTTTTTCTTCCTTCTGGTCCACTCCATTGATTTAAGTCCCAGTTTTCTTCCCATCACTATTGGTTCCCTGTGCATTTTCCTTCATTTCACTTAGCGTAGCCTTCATTTTTCCGTCTAATTTGCGCCCAAATTCAACTAATTCTGGGAGCATCCTGATCACCAGTGCTTTGAACTGTGCATCTGAGAGGCTGGCTATCTATTCATTGCTTAGTTGTATTTGCTGTGGAGCTTTGATCTGTCCTTCCATTTGGGCAATTTTTTTTTGTCTTGTTGCACCTGTTACATATGAGGGGTGGAGCCTTAGGTGTTCACCAGGGCAGGGCAACCCAGTCTCTGGGTTGTGACTCTGTATGTGGGGGCAGGGTCTGAGAGAAAACAATGGTGCTTGCTCCACTCTCTGTTGGATCTCAGTCCCCTCCACTGCTTCCCCCAAGCAAACTGGGCCCTTCTG